GGAAACTTGCACTGTTCAGCCTGATAATGAGAAGACTGAAAGGAGTTATGATAATTGTTTCCAAATGTTTCAAGAGCCGTCATGTATTAAGATCAATCTCTGTGGCTCCACAAGGCAGAACCTGGTCCAATGGTACAAAGGCAAAGAGTCAGATCTTGGAGTCTATAAAAAATAATAATGTTCCAGCAGCTAGAGCAGTCAAATAATTCTATCATCACCTCAGATATAATTATTGTAGATACCCATCACCAGAGATGTTTAAGGAGGAGTGAGATAACTACCAGGTTAGAGTACTTGTAGAAAGAACGCTTGTATCAGGTAAAATGTATTACAATTCTGAAATTCTACATTCCAGAATTTTGTGAAATATAGAATATAATTCCAGTCAACCTTAGGACTGGATGTGGCCAAAATCTTCTACATGGCATAGTCCTACTTAGAGGGGCATACAACTGAATTGTGTAAGCTTAGCATTATTCACACTGACTTACATTCAGCCTTTGTCTAGCCCTGTCCTTGGTGTGTAATTCCTACTACTGGAACTGTTTATGCATTTGTACTTAAGTTTATCAGTCAAGATTAGGTATTATGAATTCCTCTTGGCCTTAACCCCTGCTCTTATCAAAGAAACAAGTTTAGAAGGTGAGGTTTAACTTCCACGGGACTTGAGGCATAAAATATGATTAAGATTTTATTTTGGCCAGGTGTGGTGACTCACACCTGTAATCCCAGCACTTTGGGAGGCCGAGACGGGTGGATCACCTGAGGTCAGGAGTTCAAGACCAGCCTGACCAATATGGTGAAACCCTGTCTCTACTAAAATTACAAAAAAAATTTAGCCAGGTGTGGTGGTGTGTGCCTGTAGTCCCAGGTACTCTGGAGGCTAAGGCAGAAGAATCATTTGAACCCGGGAGGTGGAGGTTGCAGTGAGCCAAGATCACACTATTGCACTACCTGGGTGACAGAGCGAGACTCTGTCTCAAAAAAAAAAAAAAAGATTTTATTTTTACTTCCTTCTCTTTCTGTGACATAAGGCCCCTTTGTTATCAAGAATACAGGTTACAGGTGTGTTTCCTCACTCCCCTGCCCTTTAACTTTGTAACTGATTTTCCATTTACTTTTAAGGCCATTTTCTCATGTCTGTATATTTTTTTCCCAATTGAAAGAGTACATGAAGGAGGAGGCAGGTATCGGTTGGAAGTCAGAGTAGGGGAAATCTCTTCCAAAGCAGAGTGAGTACAGGAAGCTACAGATGTTAATAGTATACTGTGGTGGCGGTAGAGTAAGGTGTTCGAGTGGACTATAACCTCTTTGAGTACAGGAAACCATCTGTATTTCTCTGAATTCCCCATAGCATAGTAATTGTTTATAGGATTATAGGATTATTGTTCCTACTGAGGTAATTTTACAGTGAAAATTTTAATTTTATCTTTAGGGCTAAAAACACTGCCTTCACAGAGTGAAATGATGGCAGAAATATCTAAAGCTCAAGAGGAAATTGAAAAAAGGTAAGAAAATGTCCCAGGAAGATATACGGTTACTATTTCTACTTATTTTTTAATAAGAGAAATATTCGTAATTTATTTAACTTCCTCATTTTAGCTTAAGGAGTTAGATTCTATCTTGAAGAAAAATGGAAAAATAGTTTGTGACGATACAATGGAGAAATAGCACTAGTAGTCTGAATATGGATGAGAAGGGAGAGAAATGTTTTAGGTGTTTACAATCCAGTGTTTAATGCCTTAAAAAAAGTCACATAGGAAAAAGCATATGGAAAGAAAATCAGGTGTATTATTTTTGTGAGGATTACCATGAAGTGCTAGCGGAGCTGCCGCAGGAAGGAAGTGACGGTGAATGAATGAGAGGCAGCTAGGAGTGAATCACAGATCTGTAGGTAGATTTACAAGTCTGCAGGGCTGCGTTGCGGGCTACGTTCGTGCGACAGCACACTCAAGTCACAGTGGCTCATGGTATGCATAGTCCTTGTGACCTGGGAACATGGTAACAGCTAGCTGCTTAGTGTTTTGGTGAACACAATCATTTAGCAGTCTGGATTTCAGAACTTAAGCTCAACTGCTGGGTGTTTTTTATTTGGACAAAGTGGAAATTGACAGTAAGTCTATACATTTCTGTGGAAAAGTGAGAGGCACAATTGTTCCGGGCCTAAAGAGGTGGTTATCTTCAACTGATTATAGTAGCAGAACTCTCCCTTGTCTGGGAGGAGGAGAAAGTAAGTTTTTATTTAATTCCGTTATCAATTCCAGGTGCTCTCCTATTTTCCTCCTTCCTTTCACTGCCAAACTTCTCCACTATATTTTCTAAATTCTCACCTTTTGCTCCCTCCTAAGCCTCTGCATTGTTAACTTCCAATCCTTACTCCTGAAACTGCTCTCTTAAAGGTCATTTGTCAGCACTCTGGGAGGCCGAGGCAGGGTGGATCACGAGGTCAAGAGATCGAGACCATCCTGGTCAATATGGTGAAACCCTGTCTCTACTAAAAATACAAAAAATTAGCTGGGCATGGTTGCGCGTGCCTGTAATCCCAGCTACTCAGGAGGCTGAGGCAGGAGAATTGCCTGAACCCAGGCGGTGAAGGTTGTGGTGAGCCGAGATGGCGCCATTGCACTCCAGCCTGGGTAACAAGGGCGAAACTCCTTGTCAAAAAAAAAGGTCATCTGTGATCAACTTGATTTTCCTTCCTCTCACTACTGAGTTTGATGCTTTTAAACATTTCTTCCTTCTTGGAGTGCTTCCTTTTCGGGCACTACATGATCTTATTTTTAACTTTCCTCATCTCTTTCCTTTGATTTATTTTTGTTTAATCACCTTCTGATCATAAGCAGTAACCCATGGATATAATATAACCTTTATTAAAGGCCAACTATATGTATACATTGATTTATATGAGTTTATTTAATCTGGATAATCAAGGCAGGAGCTAGTGAACCTCTTTTGTGAAACCTTCAGGAATACTATAGCTTCTTTTTTTTCTTTTTGAGATGGGGTCTCAGTCTGTCACCCAGGCTAAAGTAAAGTGGCACGATCTCGGCTCACTGCAGCCTCCACTTCCCGGGGTCAAGCAATTCTCCTTCCTCAGCCTCCCGAGTAGCTGGGACTACAGGCACACACCAACAATGCCTGGCTAATTTTGGTGTTTTCTGTAGAGATGGGGTTTCACCATGTTGCCCAGGCTGAGCTTGAACTCGAGCTCAAAGTGATCCACCTGCCTGGGCCTCCCAAAGTGCTAGGATTACAGGCGTGAGCCACCACGTCCAACCTCGTGAATACTGTAGCTCTTAACCTACTTTACAAGATAAATAAATGCATGCCTACAAACCCTTGAGCCAACATAATGTTCGTAAGGGAAAGCTCTCAAATTCTTTACTGCTTTACTTTTTCTCTCCTAAATCTAATTCCCTTTCAATACATTCCTACTTGACCCTCTATCAGGTCCTGTGAAATTCCATCTCACCAGTTCTACCTCCAAGTTATTTTCTATCTTTTTTTTCCTGTCCCTATTCTTGGATTCTTTAATTTCAATTGGCTTGACTTGGCTTTTCTCTTCCTCTCTGTCCTACATTCCTTCTTTTCATTACACAAAGTAAAAAGGGAAAGTCACTCATTATTAGCTCACCAAATCCCACTCCGCCACACAGATATCACTGTTAACCAACCACATTTTCCCCCTAGTAAGTCCTTTTAAATCTTTAAATCTGCGCTTGGTGTAATCATTTTGTTTGTCTGCATTTGGAGGGCTACTTCCTCTTGTGGAATAAGTCACCCTCCGTCATCCTTCAGGATCCCAAATTAACACTGGCAGTGGGAAGTCCTACCCTGTCGACCCTGCCATTGCTATCTGATGGAAATAATTGAGGATGCCATATTTGAGAATTTTTGTGGTGGGTTTTCTCTCTCATAACATCAGAGTCCTTTGTATCTGGATGTGCTACATACCTGCCCTCATCTTACTTGTATCTTTCACACCCTTCAAGAACCTAACAATTACAGCTCTCTTTTAACTATCCCCTCTCCACGTTTCTGTTTAGCAGTCTGAAACCACTCAGAACTCTCTGCTTCACGTTTGTCTGTTTTACCTCCTTTTGTAGATCCTAAGATCCTGAAGGACAGTTGACAAATGTTTTCTTTCTTCTCTATATTCCACAGCTCCTAGTCTGATATTGAGCCAATAGCAGGCACTCAGAAGACAGTCATTGATTGACTGATTGAATTATTGACAGGCCCTGATTTCTGTCTTCTCTACTTTAGGTATGTGGAGAGCCAACGCCATACCATTCAGGGAGACTACATAGATACCATGGAAGAGCTCGCTGATTTGGTGGGAGTCAGGCCCAATCTGCTGGCTCTGGCCTTCACTGACCCCAAGCTGGCATTACACTTATTACTGGGACCCTGCACTCCAATCCACTATCGTCTGCAGGGCCCTGGAAAGTGGGATGGGGCTCGAAAAGCTATCCTCACTACAGAGGATCGTATCAGGAAGCCCCTGATGACAAGAGCAGTTGAAAAGAGTAGTTCTATGACTTCAACAATGACAATAGGCAAGTTTATGCTGGCTTTTGCCTTCTTTGCTATAATTATGGCTTATTTCTAGTGGGTCTATTGTCACTGCCCCATTTTTCACTGGGAAGCTTGATCTAGAGATGCCTTCAGAATCTGACAAGACCGACTCCTGGTTTTCTGGGAGTCAGAAAATCTACTTTTCTGTCTCTTTCAAAAGCATTAATTCACTTTCCTTTTTCCTACAATGAAACCTATTTTTCATTTGTATTAATTCATCTCCCGTCCACTCATGATCCATCAGTCTTTCTTCTGCTAATCCCTAGACTGTGAGCTCAGGTACTCTTAGTCATCTTCATATGTCCTTAGCACAGTTCTTGACATGTGGTACGTGCTTAATAAATCTTTGTTGTTTATCAAATGTTACCGGTAGGGAGAGTAAGTCAGTAAGTCGGCATCTGTATAAAATTGCTTACCCCATGTAACTCTTCTTCTGATAGGATTTGATTTTCTTTTAGAAGCTCACTTTTTTTTCATATTGTAACTCAATGTTTCCTGAGAAATAAGAGAAATAATGGTCTTATAATAGTTGCATGCATCTAAGATAAGAAATACAGATATTAAGATATTTTGTTTCACTTGCTCTTCACTAGTGTACTTGATACATCGTCTTTATTTTCTGAATAAAGAAATTACTTGCAACTTTCCAGGCTCATAGTCATTCATAATCTATCATCTGCCAATGAGATCGAGTTGGCTGAAAAATTTGGGATTTTAAATTAGCTGTCCTACCATTTTAAATCTCTTTGTTCCCATATGAGGATCCAACAAGACTTTATCTTAGGAAATATAATAAGTAGCTTCCACATACACTGTTGCAGTATGGTCTACAGATGTGATTTGATTCCTCTTCCCCTACTCTAATTTTCTCCCCTTTTCTCCTCCCTTACATGGAGTCTAAGTAATAAGTATTTGAACAAGTCATGTATGTATTAAATCAGAATTGACAACATTCCGCTTCTACCAGTGTTTCTCATCTCATACAGTGTAGTTCTGAAAAACAGAGCAAACAAAATGGAAAGCACGGACTTGGGTTTACATCCCAGTGCTGCTGATCATTCTGTTTTCTCATCTGTGGGAGTTTCACTCTGTTCTTGTCACACAGAGAAACTAACTAAGTGTCCGCTGTCAGGCACACTGAACTCGGGTGATGTTCATAAAATAGCTGTTGTATGTTTGTATTTATATTGCTGCCTATTACTTAACAACAGGATAAATTTGAACAACTGAAAAGAAAAACATTAGAGAAAAACATTAGAGTGTATTATCTTTCCTAATAGAAACACATGTAAGAGAACCAGAAATGTGAGAACTACAACTTCTTCTTAATTATTTAAGCATTTGGACAATTGCCTGCCATTTCACCGAATTTACCTGTGGAATGCCTTTTGAGAATTAGAGAAATGAAAACTGATATTACTTCCCAGGTATTTTGCTTTCCCTAATCCTTGAGATACTGGAGATTTATCATCTATTAAAATGGACCTAGTATTTTTAAATCTGCAGATGAAAAGCAAATTGAATGTCTCTTGCTTCCTTTTCTTTCTTTTAACATATAAATTTGTCTTTTAGCATGTAAATTTGTTAACAGTCCTTTGATAATTCCTAGTTATCGGCAATAAGTATGGCAGTTTCTTTTTTAAATTATGAGTATATAATTCTAAATTAATTGATTCTCTCGTTGTACATATTTATATAAGGTTACAAAAAAAATCATTGATTAATAATTTTTTAGTTCAACCAAGCTGAAAGATGTGAATAGGAAATGGAACTCAAAAACACTTAAGATACAAATTTCTTGTTACTGATGAATGTCTAATAATATTCATCAATTTACCGTATCTTGTAATTATATTAAAAGCTTCTATCATTTTCCTAATTATTTTAAAGCTGATTACAAAAATATATATATTCATATCCTTTGGAATTTGAAAGGAAAAATTACAATATGATTTGGGGAATATTCTGTACCTTTGAATTGGCTCTGTCTTCCTGTAGGTGAGCGGAATCACTGCTATTTCTCTGCCTGTATACAAACTATGAAAAGATTAAAATCAATGGTATTTGTTTTAAAAATAATTAATTTACTCAATGGTTCAGTAGTCTCTTGTGTATAAACGTGTATCTTTTGCTAAAGCTGATTTTATTAATAGTACGGTTTAAAACTTAGGAATAATTTTCATACAATAAAAACGAACTTTTTTATCAATCACTGTACTACAGTCAAGATGCAGACCTGTTCCATACCTCCCCTTCAAAATTTCTTCATGCCCCGTTGTAGCCAATCACTCCCCACCCCTCATCTACAACTCCTGGCAAACACTGATCTGTACTACCATATAGTCTTTCTTTTTCCAGAAAGTCACATAAGTGGAGCCTGACTTCTTTTGCTTCCCATAATGTATTTGAGATTCATCAATATTTTGCTTCCCATAATGTATTTGAGATTCATCAACATTATTGTATATATCAAGTTATTCCTTTTTATTACTTAGTATTCCATTGATAGCTATGCTACATTGTAATTATTGATTCGCCAGGTTATTAGTCTGTTTTCACACAGCTATAAAGACATATTTGAGACTAGGTAACTTATAAAGAAAAACGGTTTAATTGACTTACAGTTCTGCATAGCTGGGGAGGCCTTCAGAAACTCACAGTTATGGTGGAAGGGGAAGCAAGCACGTCTTACATGGCAGCAGGCAAGAGACAGTGAGAGTGTGAATGAAGGAGGAACTGCCGAACCTTTTAAAACCATCAGCTCTGGTGAGAATTCACACACTATCACAAGAATAGTATGGGGGAAATTGGCTTCCCTCCCTTGACATGCGGGGGTTATAGGTCCTTCCTTCAACACGGGGCATTACAATTTGAGATGAGATTTGGGTGGGGACACAGAGCCAAACCATATCCTCAGGTGATGGACATTCATGTTTTTTCCACTGTAGGGTTTCTGTTTTTTCTATTATATGAATAAAGACATCTATGTGTTTACAGGTTTTTGTGTGAACTTGCTTGGATAAATACCCAGGAGTAGGAGTTACTATGCTGCATGATTAAGCGAATGTTAACTTTATAAAAAAGATCTGATTGTTTTTTGAAACAGTAGCCATCAAGATCAGATGTTATACCTATCCTTGGTGGTAAGTGGAGGATGAAAGTTGATGAGTGGAGATGGGAATGTAAGCCTCCAGATGCCCAGTTTAACCTGTCATCCAGTTCTGTAAAATCAATATACTCTTGCCCCATTCTCACATCCTCACCTCTCAGAGGAAGTGAGCTCTGGTTAGTAGTGTGATTAAAAGCTTGCATGTGCGGCTGCCCATGTTATTTTCCTGTTTATCAGGCAGAATGGTTGATCTGAGGAGACCAGTGACAATGACATTCTAGATACGGTAACATCAGGACAACCCCCATCCATTACTTTTCCTATTACCTCCTTCTTTTCCTTCCCTCTAGAAACAAAGGAGAGCATTGGGGTGACAGCAATAAATCTAAAGGGAACAATTATACTGATACTGGTTAAGTGGATCTTGTATCTTTACCAACTCATTCCTGAATGTAAGGAAAATAAAAAGAATTTGGGACTAAGGAGAAGAATTAATTCTTCCTACAGTGTCACATTATATTTGTTCTGTGTCTAAAACATGCGATATTCAGAGTTGACTTTTATCATTAACTGTTGAGTGACTCACAAATGCTGCTAGGGCAGAGCAGAGCAGAACAGTGTCATGGATAATCTTCCAAAGCAGATCATCCAAAAGTCACTTCCGTTTAGCTGTGCAAAAGCAGTTTCTCTCCTTAAGCGTTCCATTGGCTCACATACTTCGTTTCTGCTCATCTCATTTGACTACTGCAAGGAAATACATACCCAGGACATATTATCTGGCGTGGTGAAACCACCTTGGGGTCAGAGAACTGAGCACTACTCAAGTCAAGGTTTAGTGTATTATACCTTCCAGGGCCTTGTTCCGGGTCCCACCGCAAGGAACTGACGGGCGGAGGGAGAAAGGTAGCGGTAACCAAGAAGGATGTGCTCACACAGCAAACACTTTGGGGCTAAGCTGCAGTAAAATCGTACCTTTTTTTTTTCTTTTTTTCTGTAAACTGTCTTTGGTTTATGAGCCAGAGAATGAGTTGATAAGAGGCAGAGCAAAAAATGGGGAAGCAGTGCGTTTGTTGGACTTAAGTGGGCTGCCAACTACATAACATAAAAAATGAACTTTTCAACAAATAGAGCTGCTCACTCCGAAAGGCTGGCCTGTGTCGCTTGGGGTTTCCCATCATTGGGCGTGTTTAAGCCTAAGGGGCATATCTTGTTAGAAATGTATCGCCGTCAACAGGATTCCTGCATCCTTCATTCCGCAAACGCGTAGGAAAAGTGCGCTCTGTATGTGAAAAGGAATCAGTCCGGATCTTCTCTCTGCCCGCTGTCAAAGCAGCGCTTCTCACACACGTTCATGGGATCTTGTTAAAATGCACATCCCGAACCCTGGAGCCTCAGCTCCTGTGTTCCTAACAGGCTCCCAGGCGATGCCAACGCTGCTAGTCTGTGTAACACGGAGGAATAAACGTTTCCAGTAGGGAATGAGGCATACGAATAACTATAATACAGAGTAAGAGTCTGTAAGTGCCTTAGATTTCCGTTGTTGTCACCGAACAGCCGGACCCGCCCGGGCCTGGGGCCGTCTTCGCCCTCCCGACACCTGCAGCGCCCCTGCTCCGTGTTCGCTGTCGCTCTCCTCCTGGGGTTTTCTCTCTCCGGAGGTTTCCGCTGCGTCTGCCGTTTCTTAGCCTAGCAGAGTCCTCGTGCGCCTCCCGACCTTTTGCTCCTTCGTCCGGGCGACCTCCCGAACGCCCCGTCCGGCCTCTTCCCCGCGACCCCGGTCGGGCTGGCGGCTCCTTCCCCGTCGCTCCGCACAGAGCAACTTCTCCGTTTGGAGACGGAGTCTCGCTCCGCAGCCAGGCCGGACTGCAGCGCAGCGGCGCCATCTCGGCTCGCCGCGACCTCCGCCTCCCGGGGCCCAGCGAGTCTCCCGCCTCAGCCCCCCGAGTGGCCGGGGCCGCAGGCCCGCGCCGCCACGCCCGGCGGACGTGCGTGTTCTCAGTGGAGACGGGGCTGCCCCACGTTGGCCAGGCTGGTCTCGACCTCCCGACCTCGCGACCCGCCCGCCCCGGCCTCCCGAAGCGTCTGATGCCAGGCGTGAGTCCCCGCGCCGGGCGCGGCGGCCACCGCTTCCTTCCTGCCGGAGCTGGAAGCGCGTTTCCTTCTTCCCGGCGGGGGTCCCGCCTCCCAGGCCGCCGGCCGCGCAGACGCCGCCCAGAAACCGCGCCGGCGCCCCTGAGGCCGGGCGGGGAGCCGCGCCGCCCCTCCCGCTCCGAGCCCCGGAGTCCAGGGACGCGGCCTGCGGGCGTCGCTCGGGGACGCCCCCTCCGCCGGGCGGTCTGAGGGGCGCGGCGGCCCAGCCGTCCCGCGCGCAGCCTCGCCGGGCTCCACAGGCCGCGCCCGCGCCCGCGCCCTTCACAGCCCCGCCCCGGCGCCCCCGCCCCCCGCGCCCCCGCCCTTCACAGCCCCCGCCCGCCCCGCGCCCCCCCCGGCGCCCCCGCCCGCGCCCCCCCCGCCCCGCCCCGCTCGCCGCCCCCCCCCGGCGCCGGAGGCTGCGCGCGCCGGCCCACCACCGAGGCGCCGGCCCACCACCGAGGCGGCCGCCCACCACCGAGGCGGCGGCTAGAGCGGCCGGCGGGCCCCGGGCGCCGCGGCTGCGGGCCGCAGGGAACGCGCACGGGGCGGGCTCCGCGCCGCCGGCCTTGTAGCCATCTTAGGAGGACTCGCGGCTCGGCAGCGCGGGCTGCGGCTTCAATTTCAATAACTTTATTGGCGGCGCGACCTGCAGAACGGCCGTCACGTCAGTGGCCCCTGGAGGAGTGAGAGCTTCGCCCGAGGCGACTGGGGCCGGGGCGCCCCCGGCAGTGAGTGCGGGGACGCGGGGGGCGTCCCGATCGCGGGGCTCCCGAGCCGGGGGCGGCGGGGGCGCCGGGGCGTGTGCAGGCGTCCCCGCAGGCCGGGAGCGCGGGGGCTCCGGGGCTCGGCGGCCCCGGGGCGGGGAATCCCGTGCCCGGTCCCGCGGCGCAGGGGCGGGGCTGGGGGGCGCCCCCGACGCGGCGGCTGCGGTGTTCACCGCCGGGTGCCGTTCCCCGCGGTAGGTGGTCCCCGCCGAGCCGCAGCCATGGGAAACACCGCCAGCGACCGGGTGTCCGGGGACCGCCACGGCGCCAAGGCTGCACGCGCCGAGGGCGCCGGCGGCCATGCCCCCGGGAAGGAGCACAAGATCATGGTGGGAAGCACGGACGACCCCAGCGTGTTCAGCCTGCCCGACTCCAAGGTAGGCGTCCCGCGCCCCCAGCTGGTGGACATATGGACGTTCACCAAATATGATGTTAAAACTTTGTCTGCTAGTTGGTATTCGTCTCAGCCACTCACACAAGCACGTTTGATGGAAAGGTTGTCCACACTGGGAATTATCACACACTGGATCAGGAGTGGCACCATCAAGTTGATAAGCATAACAAATTCCACAATCCAGAGTAAAATCAGATTTTTCCAGGATACCACGAGCTGGAAAATCAATTTCTAAAACATCTTTCAAATTTTGTAACACAGTATTTTCTGGATCTCACAAGTGCATGTTCCTGCTCAGCTTAATTCCCAGGGGTTTCACCACATGGTCAGCTCCAAGAAAGAAGCACTCAGGAAGCACAGGAGGATGCTTCGGGTCTACCTCTCTATTTAAGGAAACATTATCCCCTAATGCAATTCTGCGAGCTGTTGCACTCCGTGAAGGCTTTTCTGGCCCAAGTACCCAGGTCTTCTCATCGATTTCATCCATAACATCCCAGAATGCCTTTAGTGATCCTAATGCTGCCAAAAACGGACTGTAAATGTAAATGCTGATTAAGGAGCTCTGAGGAGAATTTGCCTGAGGTGTCCAGGAAGCAGAAAACAAAACAGGAAAATCCGCAAAACAATCTGGTGATTCTCCAGGATATTTTGCCTTCAACTTGAGAGAGATTAAATGCTCTCTACCAGAAGCATCTTCTGCTTTTAACTTGATGGTATTGAAGGAAGTATCCACATATACAAGTTTATCCCAACCAAGAGTTCCTTATCTCTTTGATAAAGCTTGAGTAGAACTGGAGAGGAGGAGGTAATGCATATAGTTCTTGTCTATTCTTTAAAGCAACTTCCAAAAGCATCTTCAGCTCCATCATAAAGCTCACGAGATCAAGAGAGTGCTGCATTCTCTGCTGTGCTATTGGATGGTATCCGTTAAGTATCGTTCTCAGCTGCCAGCTGCATCATAATCCTGCGTTCTTCAGTCGTAAATCTTCAGGCAACACTACTCTAAGATGGAAGTCTCTTCCCTGAGCTGAGATGAATCCCTCATACACGGTTTTCGACTGTTCTGGGGCAGACGCAGCGGGAACTGGCGCGACAGGCTTGCTTCTGTCACTGCCGTGGCTCCGGGTCTGGAGAGACACTGAGAAGCTCTAGGCAGGCCTTTTGCTTTTTACTTTTTAACATTTTGTTAAAAACTAAGACACAGACATATCTTGTCCCAGTGATGGGTCTTCAGGGGCAATAGCAGGCATGTAGCTATCATCTGGAATAACAATGCCTGAAGCTCTTTTACAGTTACCTTTTCTCATAAGCAAAAGGAGTACATTCTAAAATAACAATAAAAACTATGATACAGTAAATACACATAAGGCGGTAACATAGCCATTTGTTACCGTTATCAAGTATTATGTACTGTACATAATTGTATGTGCTATGCTTTTACATGACTGGCAATGCAGGAGATTTGTTTACACCCTCGCTACCGCAAACACGACGAGTAATGGGTTGTGCTACAACGTCATAGATGATAGAAAATTTTCAACTCCACTATAATCTTAGAGGACCGCTATCCTAAATGCAGTCCATCATTGACTGAAACTATGTGGTACATCACTATATATTGGGGATAATAATAGTATCTACCTTATGATATTCTTGTTAGGAATAAGTGGTATGAGGCATATATGAGTACAAAAAGGCATACCGAGTGATATAATGGACTTTGGAGACTCAGAAGTGGGAGGTTGGAAGAGGGACTCTGGACAAAAAAAACCCGTGCATTAGGGACAGTGTACACTACTTGGGGACATGTGCACTAAAATCTTAGACTTCACCACTGTGTAATTCACCCATGTCACAAAAACCACTTGTACCCCAAACATGGAAATAAAAATTTAAAAATATAAAGTACTTAGCATGAAGCCTAGTACATGGTACGGGCATTATAAACATTAACTATTATTTATGTTATTAGAAAATATGGACAATTAACTTTACCAGTCTATGGTTCTTATAAGTGCCATTTTAGTTACCTTTTCAGATTGATTGCGAATTCTGGAAACTGAGATAAATATGATGAGCACTTGAGAAGGTCATTGCTCTGCCCTGATTTGCAGGATTTACATGGAGTTGATCCCAATGTCAGTCCGTAATAAGAATTTAAAGCAGTACAAGCTACAAAAATCTTGCTTACTGTGAATTAATCTTTCTTGCACATCTGACTTAGTAATGATAGTTTTCCTTGTCCTGAGTAAATATCAGTCAATTGCCAGATTAATTGCGTCTGGAATTCATTGCTCTCTAATTATGGCACTATCCAAAAAAGTTAAAATTATGTTAATTCTTTGATTGAAACATAATAGATGTACATATTTGGGGGGTACATGTGACAATTTAATACATCTAGATAATTTGTAAAGATCAAATCCGTGTAACCAGAATACAAAAATGTGTTCATATTTGGTGTACATCACGTGTGCTGCGGCAGTCTCATCTCAGGCCGCAGGAGGCTAATTGCTGTGTTTTCACAGGAGGCCCAGGTCCAGAAGGCTTTGCACCGTGGCTCCTTTACAATTCTGGGGGAAAGGCTGCTGCTATGTGCATGCGGACAACTCTTAACCTCGGTTGGTCAACCCAGAGTAAGACGGAGGGCCAGCTTCAGAGAATAGTCCACTCATTAAAGAGCTGAAACCTGGTGTTTCAAGAAAGCACACTGAATTTCCTAGTTCCTCACACATCATAGAAAAAGAAGTCAATGAAAACATAAAGTTGAAAACAAATTGTTGGGTTTGGGTAGTTACTGATAATCTTTAAAACCAATATGACTGACACCTGGGGTTTGAGAAGCTCCAGGAGAGTAAAAGAAAGGCCACAATGGAGCGTGACGATTCCCCACACTGTCTCTCGAGGTTGTGTCCCTACCTCCCAGGTCACTGTCCCTACCTCCCAGGCCACGTTTTTCAGTTCTGTGGGCCCCTTTTTCTGTTGGTATTAATTCTATCATCAAATTTCCATACCTGTACATGGCTGTGGGTTCAAAATTCTCAGGAGAGAATGTGATTATTTCTGTGCTCAAGGTAGGCATTCAATAAATTTCAATGAGTAAGTTCTGAAAATGGACAAACAAAATCCCTTCTTACAGCCCTCTAAAACCCACGGAAACATAAAATGCTTTGTCTTTCTCTCTCTTGGTAAAGGGGTACATACCGCAGGAAATAGGGGGCTAAGCTATATGGAGGGATTTATAGCCAAGACTCTCTAAATACATTCAACTCAGTCTTATTGTCAAATTGACAAAGCAGATGAAAATACCTCTCTAAGACTAAGTAAATTCCATCTATACATCTGTAAATTCCACAGGATTCCAAGGATGAAAATGGAAGATGTGACCTACTCCTGCATCATGAGATCAGAGAATTACAGATGTGACCCTCACTTACAGGTGAGGCCCTCTGGTGACTCTCCCCTCTGGACTGGGCAAGTTGAACAAAATTAGGTAATTCAAGACTAAAACAGAAATAACCGGTTTCTACTATGGCACAATAGATCCTGAATTCTTTGAGTGAATAAATAGGCAAATAAAGAAAATAAAATTCAGTGCATGTAAACGTCTTGGATTTTCAACCTAGAAAGACTGCAGGCAGGCAATTGACACATTCCATCGCTGCTCTTCTGTTACTCTCTTAGAGCTGCTCAAGACATAGGTAGTGGAAATACTTGGTTTTAGGAATAACTAACCACCTGTACCCAACAACCTTGTTCTTCAAAAATCAGTATCTTTGGATACTCATTGAATTATTCAAGATTGCTCAAGAATCCCTTCTGGGTCAGAGTCTGTTGAATAGGTTTATAAATGATAAAGAAGGAGTGCACAGTGACGTCTCAGACTCCAAGATATACAAATTTCCCCAGACAGTGGAAAGATATCCCAGAGAAGAGAGACATTAGAGAATAATCCTAAGATCTGTGTCAATGGGCAGAGCCTTAAGAGATGTATAAAGTGTGAGTAATGAATTTAGGAATAATCTAAAATACATCTAAAAAAATGATAGACCATCCCTTAGATTCTGCTCAAGAAAAAGACTCAGAGACATTAAAGATTGACCCCAGCATATGTACCAATATTCTGCATCAGGCAAAAAGGCCTAGAAAATGAAGAAAATCATTAAAAACTATACTGGAAAGCAAGCGTTATCCTGGTATATCTCTGCATGGAAAGATTTATGTAGTTCTTGCTGCTCTGCCTCAAAACTAAGTTTTCTATAACTTGAAAAGATCCAGAGAAGAGGAGCTCAGAATAATTGGAGATACTGGGAATTATTAAAAAAAATTTGTTTCAGGTTATATTTGTACTGTCAATATGGAAATCTCATTCTAAGTAATAAAATCTACAAAACTTAAGTAGTATAAATAAAGCGAACAGAGATTTGCTTATTTGACAACTTCAAAGACCTGGAACAGGGAGAGATGGCAGTTTCTGAAACTCATGAAATGAATGCATTAGCCAAAGAGGTAGGTGTGACAGGAACTAGAAATGCATTTCCAAACATTTGGGCAAATTTTGACTGATGCAGTCATCAATGCTTTGAGATTTACTTAGCTCCTGGAATTAAGATGGCTCAGAAGGGGCCATAGAAGTATTTCTCTGACCTCTTTGTGGGCAGGAGACATAAGGTGTGGATTGAATATTCCCAAGCAGCTCATGAGTTATAAAGTTTGAAAACTATTGATATAATCGATATATTACCTTTAATCCATTCAGCATACCACTTTTTATCGTTCTTCCCTTTAATTTCAGATCCTAGTACAGTGACGACAAACTTTCAGTAGTCAGTGCTTCCTTTTGATTGATGATGTCTGGAGGTCAGGACTCTCCAGCAATTCTGATGAATGTCTGCAACTTCTTGGCTCATCTCCATTGTTTCGTCTTACATTCTGCAAATGAGATGATTCCGATGAGCAACGCTGCCGTTCCTCCTCATTTGCATTTTAGTAGCTTTATGACAGTTTCCTTCTTGCATGATATTACCTAATTACATCCTTCAGAGAAGCACTAACATATCACTCTCCACTTTCAATTATTCACTCCAACGAAGGAAATCATGGAACACCCACCCCCTCCCAGATGGGACAAAGATTGTGTGAGGGAGTGGGACCATAATCGCAATCAGGGGGTCCTAAGACAAGACAAGCTTTCCCTTCAAGCCAACTTCCTAGCCATACAATAACGTAAGTCTCAGACCCTTACGTGCCCAAATGGTGCTACCTAACGTATTGCTCTTGTACTTCATTAAATATGTTCCAAAAACAGCTTATTTCATATAACTTTGGGATGTTTCCAAAAATCATCCATGTACACGGAATCAGATTTTCCCAATATTTCAAACAAAGGTTGTAATCTCTAAAAACCTTTGAGAAGAGAAAATCCAGACTAATTTTAAGCAGCTTGTGCTGCAGTTGGTGTGTAGTTTCCTAAGGGGTCCGCTACATCTTTTGCATATAGATGATCAGGCCTATGTAAAATTGTGAGGATGTGTCTTTGATGCCTGATTTTCCTTTCTTGACTCACTTCTATCTTTTTTTTTTTTTTTTTTTTTATAAGTTCAGAGGTACATGTGCAGAATGTCCAGGTTTGTTAAATAGGTAAACACGTGGCATTGTGGTTTGCTGAACCTATCAAACCATCAACTAGGTATTAAGCCCAGCATGCATTAGCTGTTTTTCCCGATAGTCTCCCTCCTCCTTCCCCATCACTGCCCTACAGGCCCCAGTGCATATTGTTCCCTTCTAGGAGTCCATGTGTTCTCATTGTTCAGCTCCCACTTATAAGTGAGAACATGTGATATTTGGTTTTCTGTTCTTGTATTAGTTTGCTGGGGATAATGGCTTCCAGTTCCATCTATGTCCCTGCAAAGGACATAATCTCATTCCTTTTTATGGCTGTATAGTATTTCATAGTGTATACGGACTGTATTTTCTTTTCCAGCCTATCATTACTGGGCATTTGGGTTGATTCCATGTCTTTGCTATTGTGAATAGTGATGCAATGAACATACACATGCATCTATCTTTATAATAGAATTACTTATATTTGGGTATATACCCAGTAATGGGACTGCTCAGTCTATTGGTATTTCTGTCTCTAGGTCTTTGAGGAATTCCCACATTGCCTTCCACAATGGTTGAGCTAATTTACATTCCCACCAACAGTATAAAAGTGTTTCTATTTCTCCACAGCCTTTCCAGCATCTGTTGTTTCTTGACTTTTTAATAATTGCCATTCTGATTGGCATGAGATGGTATCTTGTTGTGGTTTTGATTTGCATTTCTCAAAGTATCAGTGATACTGAGCTTTTTTTCATATGTTTCTTGGCCACATGAATGTCTTCCTTTGAGACGTGAATGTTCATGTCCCTTGCCCAGTTTTTAAGAGGGTTGTTTTGTTTCTGTTTTTTGGGCTTTTTTTTTTGAAAATTTGTTTAAATTCCTTGTCGACTCTGGATATTAGATCTTGGTCAGATGAACAGATTGCAAAATTTTTCTCCCATTCCACAGGTTGTCTGTTTGCTCTGATGATAGTTTCTTTTGCTGTGCCGAAGCTCTTTTGTTCAATTAGATCCTATTTTTCAGTTTTTCTTTTGTTGTAATTGCCTTTTAAGTTTTCATCATGAAATATCTGCCTGTGCTTATGTCCTGAATGGTATTGCCTAGATTTTTCTCTAGAGTTTTTATAGTTTTGGGTTTTACATTTAAGTCTTTAATCCATCTTGCGTTAATTTTTGTATAAGGTGTAAGGAAAGAGTCCAGTTTCAATTTTCTGCATATGATTAGCCAGTTCTCCCAGCACCATTTATCAAATAGGGAATCCTTTCCCATAGCTTGTTTTTGTCAGGTTTGTCAAAGGTCAGATGGTTGTACGTGTGCCATCTTACTTCTGAGTTCTCTATTCTGCTCCATTGGTCTATATGTCTTTGTACCAGTACTATGCTGTTTTAGTTATTGTAGCCTTCTAGTATAGTTTGAAGTTGGGTAGCATGATACCTCCAGCTTTGTTCTTTTTATCTTGATGGCATCTTTCTTTTATTCCTCTTTACTCAACTCAGAGGTCCTATTATGCTGGACTCCCCTTTTGTTCTATTTAATTTCTACCTTATTCAGTTAATGTACTCTGGTATTGCAAGGAAATACTTATGGTTCAATTTTTCATCAATTTGTCTAACCCTCTTTCATTCTGTCTACCTACACTTCTCTTAAGTATCCCTTTGTTGGGAGTACTGAGTATATAATCTGTTGCACTAAGTCAAGAGGTAACTGTGAGTAGGGTAAAAAGCACATGGTAGCAGAGTATCTTTTGCTCTGTTACTTAGTGATTATATGATCCTCTTAATTTGACTTCTATAAGCCGTAGTTTCCTTATTTGAAAATAAGGGTTAATAAGAAGGTTAATAATGCTTAGTTTGTCTCCTTTACTAGGATTTCTGTGGCCACAAATGTTAAACGAGTCTATGATTACCTTTTCCATATGCTTCATGATTTGACAGTTCTGAAATCATGTCTCTTGGTTTGTCTCATGTTTGGCTCCTTATCCCTCAGCTCATTTTTCTTGTCCTTTACTTATTCCATTTTCTCACTATGGAGGATCAGCAGTCAGAATGTCACACACTGTTTCAGGGGCTATAGTCTCTGAGCACTCCATTTTTCATTTCCAGTTTTCTTTTTGTTGATGAGCAATATTTTGTTTATTTTTTTCAAAAATCAAAGCAGTCCACAAAATGAGTCCTTAGAGAATAACTCCCAATTCCTTCTGAAAACTCTTCTTGGTGCATACCTAATATTAGAGATCCCTTCATAAAGAGTAATATGCTATTGACTCACCTACACCCCTGCAAGAAACTGTGAAATGTTCCTGGAATCTCTTTTGAAATCTTGACCGATTCTTTACTTCCAGATAGAGTTTCATGCCATTGTCAGACAGAGATACTTGTGTACCATTTATGGTGTTGTAGAATAAATCTAAAGCTATTAAATGAGATCAACCCAAGCATGGGTTTGTGACACATCCTCAATCAAAACTTTGCTACTTGACAAGGCAGTGGATCATGTAGTAATCCTTACTTTAGGAGGCTGAGGTGGGCAGATTACTCAAGCCCAGGAGTTTGAGACAAGCCTAGTCAACATGGCAAAACCCATCTCTACAAAAAATACAAAATTTAGCTGGGTGTGCTGGCAGGCACCTGTAGTCCCAACTGCTTGGGAGGCTGAGGTAGGAGGATTGCTAAGCTCAGGAGGTTGCAGTGAGCCAAGATCATGCCACTATATTCCAGCCTGGATAACAGAGTCAGACCCTGCCTCCAAACAAACAAACAAACACAAAGTTCCCTACTCTGAGAAGTTTTCTTTCTTTATTCCTTGCCAATGTCAGAGTTCCAGCAATTCCAGAAT